TTTCATAGAATAATAAAATAATTTAGTTGTAAGGGGCCTATAAGGTCACAGAATCTAAACCCCTTCTCAATGCACGAATACAAATCAAGAGAGATCTGCCAGGTGGTTGTCTAAACTTCTCTTGAATGCCTCCAGTGTTGGGAGCCCTCACCACCTCTCAAGGTCATTGGTTCCATTGTTGTACTGCTCTAACAGTTAGGAAATTCTTCCTAATATTCAGCTGAAATTTGGCTCCCGGTAACTTGAGCCCATAATCATGTGTCCTGCACTCTGAGGTGATAGAGAACAGATCTTGCCCTTCCTCTGTAGGACAACTTTTCATGTACAGTGGTGCCCCGCATGATGGCGATAATTCGTTCCAGGAAAATCGCTGTTAAGCGCAATTGTCGTCATGCGAAAAACAATTCCCCATTGGAATGCATTGAAACCCATTTAATGTGTTCCAATGTGGAAATTACCTCATCGTCCAGCGAAGATCGCCCATAGGGGAAGCCATTTACCGAGCGTCGATCAGCTGTTAAAATGGCTGCCCTGTGAAGCATGGCTCCGGAAAACACAGGGCAGCAATTTTGCGGAGCCAGAAAAATCGTAGTTTTGCGAACAAACAGTTTGTGAAGCAAGGACCTAATCCTTGTCAAACAAAAATCCCCCATAGGAAACATCATTTTGCGATCGCTATAACAATCGCAAAAAAGTCATCGTCATGCACAAGGGAAGAATGGGTAAATCCCAGAAGTCGGGGTCCACAGATGACCGTTGATAGGCCTTGGAAGGCCACACTTGCTCTACTACTCCTATTTATTCTCCTCCTGAAATCAGTTCTGTTTACATAAAACGCTGCCAGATGGTCTACTCTCCTCCAGGGCTCCAAAAAGAAAAACAAGTAATAATGGATGGGGCTCAAAACATGACAAAATCCTCATCCTGTTTCGGAAGAAGCAAGTGGGTCGAGCTGAGCTGGTGTTCAAGGAGTCTGAACTGGGACACATCCCACCCACAGAGAAAGCTAGTGGGATCCTGGCTTCCAACTCCCAAATGGCCAGAGGTCTCCTTTCATTCGGGCTTCAGAGGTGGAAGGGGAGAGGTGCTACCCCCATGCAACCATGGTCAAAGTCCCAGTCAAAAGGTTCAATGGGGAGGGGGGGGAAAGACACACAACTCCCACAGGAAGACCTCACTCATGGTGCCACAAGTCTTCCTACTCATGGCTCGGTGGATCCAAAGTCTTGATTTTGAGGCCACCAAGAGAGATGCTCAAAAACAAATCACGCCTGGTACAAGTTCCCCCAAAAGGCCTTCAAGTGTGATCAGGATCTGGGCCGAATTTAGACCTGGAGGGGCCGGGTGAGAAGACACTCTCCCTGACCATCGCTGATTCCACCCCTTGGAAGGATAAGTCTACTGCTGTTGTGGTTTTCCCAGGTCTGAGGGTGGAACTGATGGCCTCTTGGTGACCCCTGGTCCATCTTCAGAACATTGTTTACAAAGGAGGGAAGGATCTGAGGCTGGATCAAGATACGCAAAACCCATAAATTATGTTCAAGGACCTCCATATGATTAAGCCTATTCCAAACATGCATTATTCTCTTATACGGACCCAGGAACTGGCGCGTTGCTGGTTTGTTTGCTTGCTTCTCATATGAAGGGTCTCCTCGTAACTGGAAGCCTTAAAGTGCAGCTTATTTAGCTTCCATTGGAAAGCTTTTTTTAGCCTGGCTGGAGAGAACTTTTAGGGACAGAGGTGAGAAGATCCTGGTCACCGTCGTTTCTTGTGGTTTCCAGATGCCATGGCTAGAAAAGCTCCACTGACATATGGAATGATTTTCATACCCAGAACCTGATAAAGTTACAATCCCAGGTGCTGGGAGAGCCCTGGGAGAAGACGTCCTTACTGGGTGGAAGGTGAAGATGCAGTCCAAAAATAAGAGTAAGTTCTCTGGGGTCAAAGCCAAGGTCAAAAGAGGGAAATCAAGGTCTACTTACGGATGCAGAAGACAACCCCGGTCACGAGAAGGATCAGGACAGTCACGGCTCCCAAGATGCATCCCACAAGAAGCCCAACGGAGGCTGCAAATGGGGGATGAAAAAGGCATAATGAATGGGAATGAACCACCCCATTCAGAAATACATAAAATCTCCCCCAGTTGTGTTGATACGCTTTTGAGTAACCTAGGCTCAGGTATGCATGTGGGTCTGTCGTGTCCAAGAACAGCCTTCCCCTCCTCGCTTTGGTGGAGCCAAAGTTGAGTGGAAAGTTGGCCAAGGCCTCTTCTTGGATTGTAGGTCTCTCGCCCTGGGATATAGGAGCACATTGGAGAACACATGCCCCCCCCAGCTGTTGTCCCCTGTGACCCTGCTGAGTTGAGTTCCCCATTAGAGACCCTCCATTCTCCCAGTGGGGGAGAAATGCCTCTCTCTAAGGGTCCCCCACAGGGCCTAAAGCCACCTTCCCACCCAATCCTTCAGTCTCCCATTGAACCTCTCACCGGGTGCCTTCCAGGCCACATCCAGAGCTTCAGACAAGCCGTCGTGCTCCACGTGGCACCGGTAGAGGTCCCTCTCCTCAGGGTTGATCTCGATGCTCAGCCAGGTATAGTAGGTCCCATCCGAATTGGGGGAAACACTCCCACGGTAGGTCTCCGCTTCCAAGCTCTCCCCGTCCTTGATCCACGTGGCCTCAATCTCCTTGGGGTAGAAGCCGTAGGCCTGGCAAGTGAGCCTCTCTAAGCCACCGTAGCTCGCTTTCGATGCCACCGTCACCACTGGAGGTTCTGTAGGGGGAAGAAAGAGGACACCACGGACACCTAGCCCTTATCCACAGAAGGGTGGATGTGCCATTTTTGGGATCGGGAATGTTCAGCTTGTGGATCTTTAGACCATCCACTCCGAGAAGCCTGGACTTTGAGCATCGGGGACATTTAGAGAATCAGATATTCCACATCCGTGGAGTTAGAAGGACGTCATCCTCTGCCATCCTGGCCTTAAGTTTGAATGTTTAAGTGTTCTGCCTCTGAAAACACTCCCAAAGGATCGAACACAACTCCAAAAACTCTGGAAAAAAAATATACTGAGTGCTTGAGGTCAGTCATGGTGTCCCCATATCAGATCTTTGAAAGTGACTTTTAAAAATATAACACTTTCCTGTCAATTTGGTATCACATCTGGACCCAAACTGGCTGCTGTAGTTCCTTACAGTGTGACAAAGAGTGAAAAAAATAACTGACAGCACTCTTAGTTCACACATATTTGTCTACTTTCAAAAAAGGGTTGATAAGAATGGGTCTGTTCCTCTTAAAATGGTTTTTTACTTTATGATGTGAGGGTGAAGTGCAATCAATAAAATCTCCTTAAATAATCGCAAACATTTAAAGATGCAATTTAAAAAAAATTAAATATTATAGCACCTTAAAGGTGATATGCAATACCTTTATAGACCACTTATATTTGGTTTTTTTTTAAAATCATACAATTTGCAATTTTCATGGGTAAATCCCACTTCTTCAAAGCAAGCACTAAAGGTACAAAAATGGTCCTTATTCTGAAGAATATTGCATATTGTATGATTTCTTCTTCTTGCATAACGTATAATGAAAAAAAACTTTTATTAATGGCATATAAAGGTATGGCCTACCACCTGTTCTTGCATTTGCATTTTGTACTGGCCACATGGCTCCCGCTTTTTATTTCAATAGCTTATTAAAACACACATAGTGAACTAGACAGCCTTGATCTTTATTTAATCCCTCAGGAACACACTGGAATTTGTGTATGTAGCCTACACCTGCTATCTTTAGCTCTACCCTCCTTTTTTTCCTCCTACTCTGTCCTCTTCATTCTTGAAGAGTCAAGTGTCACATCCGAGCTCCTTCTCAATCTCACCTGTCCTGAGGAGAGTCTCCTTCCCGTAGTCCAGGTACTTCTGCAGCCACTTGATACAGTCTCCCTCCAGGAAGTTCTTCCGGCCCTCGGTCCAGACCCGGTCGGCCTCCCACCGTCTCTTGGTCACCTGGGCTCTGGAGTCAGCGGCCGTCCAAGTGAGAGTCTCCTTGTCCAGGCTGAGGAAATCCTTCCCGTCATAGCCAAACTGGGAGTGGCCCCCTTTGCGCCCGTCCGTGTCCAGTTCACAGCCGTGCATCCATTGCCAGACGTGGAGCCCTGGGAGACAGACAGAGAGACACGAGCACTGTGTGATTCCACAATGCAAACCAGGGTGGTCACACCTTTATTCAGCGGAACGAAAGGGCATCAAAAGGGCATCCAAGCTTTCAAGATCTCCAGATCGTTTCATCAAAAGCTACACAATTGCTACACAAAGAAGACCCATCTTTTTAATACTCCCCCCTCTCCCTTCCCCTACAACCTTTGTTTTAAACAACACTTGCCTATTTTGTGTGTAGATACAGGGAATCTCTTTCATCTCCATTTTAGAGAATGTTTAATATCACCAGAATTTTTAACCCTAGAAATATTTCAGCCATGGGTTTCCTGCATCAATTGGGGTTGGCCTATGTTGGTTTATCAGCTGTTTAAAATCTGAGGCTCCGTCGGTTTCGAGTGTCCTGGGAGATGTTCCTTATTACCGATTCTAGGTGGCTTTTTCTGTTTTGGGGAAACCACACCATATTCTGAGCTTTCAGAAGCAGACCTTCTACATGCAGAGGAAATTAGGTTTCGATAAATGTTGCCTCCCAGCACCTCTCTGATCTGCTGCCTTGTGACAACAGCCATCGTGTGAGATGGCTACTCAGGAGAATGGGAGTTGTAATCCAGCACATACAGAGGGGGCCAAGTTGCAGAAAGCTAGCCATGTTGTAGGAGAAGTAGAAAGCAAGCGCGCACGCACGCACGCACGCACGCACACACACGTTCCAAAACCCATTTCGGGTTGTTTTTTTTAAATGGCTATTCATGGCCTTGTCCAGGCCTACTTCGGTAGTGGGGGGGGGCGTCTACGGACCCAAAGCCCACTGAGACTGCCTTTTATTTTATTTTTATTTTATTTCCATCTGCTGAATCAGATGTTTTGGCAACTCAGCAAACAAGAGTGTCTCTGGGCCACTCCTGGCAAATAGGAAAACAAGAGGAACAGCCGCATTCATCCAGGGGGAAAAAAGAAACCAGATATAAAATTTGCAAGTGGGTGATACTTTTTGATACCATCACTCTTTGGGGATTCTGGGGTTTGTAGTCGGACAGCCCCTTTTCCTTCCCCTCCAGACACGCCACCTTCCCCTCCACTCACCCTGGCTGTGGTTGAAGCGGCTCCACAGGGTCACCCGGAAGTAAAGCTCCCAGCTGCGAGAGAGCTGCGTCTGCCAGTCCCAGTACTGGGGGTCCTCCTGTTCCACCTTCCGGATCCAGGGCGCACGGGGCAGGTCCCTCCTGGCGTCGCTGTCATACCGGACAAACTGCTGGTCGTCCAAGTAGCCCACGATGGTGAAATGAGGCAGCCCTTGGCCGGGCTCCGACACCCCGGTGAAAAAATAATGCAAGGTGTGGTGGGCGTGGGAGGAGGTAAAGGGATCTGCAAAGTGGGGAGAGCAAAGGAAAAAAAGGGGGGGTGGGAAGCATTAGGGGACGATGCGCCAGTTGCAGCTCCTGATCCCATAGCGGCCAACTCCCAACAGCAAAAATCAAGGGGTGGGGCTACGAGAAGCCCACGTGGAACATTTGGGGAGGGGGAGTCTTACTGCAGTGAAACATCAACGTGACAGGAGAAATGGTATACAAAATATTTATTAAATGACACAAACAAGATGACCACCAAATCAGTGGCCAAATCCCTCCTTTCTGCCCAAAGAATAAGAAAAACAATCTTAACCTCTATCTAACCCCGTCATTAAAAAAACAAAAACATTGTATGGGTATTCTATTTTACCAATTAATACTGTTTTAGCTGTTTTGAACTGTTTTAATCACTTCCATTTATTTTAAATACTGTGTGGGGGTGTGTGTGTGTGTGTGTGTGTGTATATATATATATATATATACACACACACACACAGAAAAAAATTATAACAATTGTTATTCTGCAAGATGGGAAAAATATAACAATAAATCAAATAGAAAAAAAGGGAAGAGGTTTTCAACTTTGTTTCCTTCAATACTGTAATAATTTACTATTTGGCTTTTAAGTTTGTTTCTTTTCATACTGTAAGCTGCTCTGGGTCCCTTAAGGCGGCATGCAATAAATAACAAATAAATTATTCCAACATGTTTTGTAGCACTTTAAAAGAGATAAAACGGTATTCCATGATGTAGGATTTTGTGGTGAGGCTTCCACTTCCCGGCACTTCCTCCTGATTTTACTAACCCTTCCTGGGGGGGGGGGATGTCTTAAGCTCAATGGTGTGACTTTCAGTGGGAAAGCTCTTTGGAGAAGTGGCTGGTGCTGAATTTTTTTCCTCTATTGCACAAGAGTAACGTGACTTTGTGCGCAATACAAAAAGAAAACAAACACCAGGCAGCCATGTCTCGTTTATCTTTATTAGGTGTCATGGTTACAGTGACCTGAACTGGAGTTTTCAGGTATGTGAACTATTTCAAGAGGAGTTTTATCGGTGCCACCGCCCCGCACACATACAACTAGCCTTGGAAAGATTCGAACCCAGGCCTCCAAAGACAGCGACGCTTCCTGGAACGAGCAAGATATAAGGGGAAGCCACGTTCAGGACGATCCCCTGCCGGAGGGCTTGCAATACACGCGTCAGGCAACGGGGCATTCATTCGCGACAGGGGGCACAACGCCCCTCTCTGGCTGACCCGGGGCTGAGTTCAGATTCTGCTCCCCACCCCTCCCGAGAGGGACTCACCTCCAGCCAGCAGGAGGGCTGCTGCCCCCAGGAGCCACCGAGCCCCGGAAAGACCACGCATCCAGGCAGGAAAGCGGCCACCCGGCCTCCTGCCTCCAAACCGACCCGTCGCTCCCCGCCGCGCCTCCGCTTGTTCGTGGGAAGGGCCGCTCGGCAGGCGGAGGAGGTGACGGCCGCTGCGATTGGCCGGGGAAACGCCTTTCAGCCAATGAGAAAAAAGGGTCACAGGCGCGCCTGCCTCTCTGACGCAAGCGGTCGCTGGGGAGATCTAGGCCGGGCCGCCACCCAGAAGGCGGAGGGGGAGAATTTCGGAAGAAGTCACGTGAGTTTCCTCCGCCTTCGGCTTAAGCTCTCTGTGGACAGCAACCTCCCTTCCCGACTCACGAGAAGCCAGAAGCCTGGGTCCCAAGAGCGTCATGAACCCGCTTCCAGCATCTTCCTTGAAATTGCTCTTTTTAGGAATCCCGTGAGTTTCCTGGATCAAGTAACATAGGTACTCTGAACATGCACAGAGAGATTTTCTCCCCCCCCCCATGAATTCTGCTGTGAGAAGGGACCCCTGCTTGTGTGTGTGTCTGTGTCTCTCCGTGTGTTGTTATATATAGGGGTTATATACAATATACTGTATATTGTTGTTGTTGTCCAGACATGACATTCATCTTTAGCGCTGCTTTTTAAAACTTCATTTCAGATCTTAGTGGATAGTTGTCTTACTCTCTGAGTAATGGCTTCCCAAGGGCTGAGACGCAAATTCTCCCCCTCCCCCCCCAGATTTTTTTTGGGGGGCTTCTTCCTTCAGCTTCAAAACAAGAAAAGCCCCACCAGCAGCCGTGGAAGGGAGAATAAGGGAAGTGACCGTGGAAGGGCCGAGAAGGCGGAAGCACGAAAGCTGCACCAGAGAAGCGCAAGGGGAAGCCCAGAAGGACTCTGCTTCATCTTTCCCCTGCCAAGGAGATCTGGTGGACTCAATCCTTTTCTTGACCTCCCAAGCAGGAGGCAGGACAAGATGTGGCTTGGGGGAAAAAAAGTGGGGGGAGACCTCTTTCCAAAATGAAGTTGATGGGAGGGAGGAGGAGGGAGGGTCTGAGGAAAGTGGGGGAGGGGAGAAAGAGGCGGGTGGGGGCCACAGGAGGTGCGCTTCCCCCCAAGGCAAAACAGAATATTTGCCTATAGAAAGAGGGATGCTGCTTTTGAGCGCATGGTACTGCAAGAGTTAAAAGGGGGGCATCTGGAGACTGGCTTCCTACATCCAAGGAGACCCCTTCGCCTGCAATGCATGGTCTCTGGAATGGAAGGGGGCTCTCCGAGGAGGGACCACCCTCTTCTTTTGGGTCTGGATGCAGGAGGGGGGCAAAACGTTCACCCACCATCCCGTCGTTTCCCCCTCCCCAAAAAATCACCTCCCTCCTGCTTGCAGGAGTGGGTGCTTCTCCAGCGGCAAAGCTACTTTTCCAAATGTTATGTTGTGGGTGCAGACACGACAATTGCTTTAGCATACCATTCTTTATTCCAAAGATGGCATGACATACACAAGCCACACGTTCAATAAATACCCATAACTCCGCTCCCCCCCAATCAAGTCCTCTAGACATCACCTCATTACAAGGTCCACCTGTCTCCTGCAGCTGTCAGAAACCTCCTTTAAAGTGCCCGATTCATTACACCGAGAGTCTGCCTGGTTTTTGTCCAGCCCTTCTCTCCCCAAACCCTGGTTTCTCCCTTGATTGAGCTGGGAAGGAGGCGCAGGGCCAGCTGGAAAAGTTAAGTGCCCTTCAAAACTTGTGGCTTGGAATTGCCACTGTGAGTTATAACACTTCTGTCTGAAAACAACTGACTGGGTATACTGCAGATCAAGGTTACAGATTTTGTAAACATTTTTGTCAGCTAAATGTTTGTATATTTTTTTATTGTATCCTCTCTAACAGCATTAATATGAATCACTTTAAAATACGGTACAGTGTTTCCTTAAAAACAAGACATGGTCTTC